AATTTGGCACCGTTGCCGGGGAGATGGTACAAATAATTGAAGGATTCTCGAGTAAAAGGGTAACTTCATTCCTCTTTTACATTTTTTTAGTCAGTTTAGTTTATTTTCTTAGTTATATTGTTATTTCTAACTTAGTTTCATTTTTTTTTGTGTTTTATGAACAGACATCGAGATGAGCGAGGGAGATTCATTGCAAGGCCGCAACTAGTGTTTGAATCTCTTTCTAACCCTCTATTTGATACTGAATCTATTGGCACACTCATCACATTACACAGCACAATGACTGATAGTGAGCAAGGTGATGCGCCCTATTGGACCTTGCATGATTACCTTTACCCAACACATACATCTACACCTTCATGCATCATGTTTTCTCCTAACATGCCACATATGGACCTAAAACTGGGAATGATTCAACTTTTGCCCACTTTTCATGGTCTTGAAAAGAGAAAATCCATACGTACATGTTAGGGAGTTTGAGGAGGTGGTGGCAACCTTCCATAGTCAACATGGTACGTTGGATGCACTAAAGCTAAAAACTTTCCCATTTTCACTCAAAGAACGAGCAAAAAACTGGCTATATTCACTGCGACTACGTTTGATTGGGACTTGGGCGGAAACAACCCAAGCATTTTTTGGCAAATACTATCCTCATCATAAAACCACTACCCTTAAGAAGCAAATCTCTTCATTTGCCCAAAAGGATAGTAAAACCTTATATAAAGCCTGTGAAAGGTATAACGAATTGCAAGCCCTTTGCCCCCACTATGGTTATGAAAGTTGGCGTGTGGTGAATTATTTTTATGAAGGGTTAACGCCTAGGGAGTGTTAATTTGTTGAAATGATGTGTAATGATGAATTCTTACAAAAAATCTAGATGAGTTTATAGAGTACTTAGATGACTTAGCCAAGAAAGCCCATACTTGGACTGGACCTAGTTTCACTGATAGCACCAGTAAGTCACGACCCATCGAAAACACCACTAGCACAGGCATTTATTATCTTAGGGAGGAGGATGACCTTAGAGCTAAGGTAGATGCCCTCACTAAAGAACTCAAAATCTTACATGCTAGGGACTCAAAGCCTACACAAAATGCATCTCGTGTCGAATCTTTAGGACCGTGTTTTGTTTGTGGTGGAACTGATCATCCAACTCAAGAGTGGAGTTTATGAAGAACAATGCAATGCCTTAGGCACATGCCAAAAGCCTTATTCTCCCTTTTCTGAAACATACAATCCAGAGTGGTGAAATCACCCAATCTCAACTGAAAATCTGAAGGTCAGCCAAATAAAGCTCACACTGCATCTCTATATCAGCCCACATCCTCTAGGGACTTTTTAGAAAACACTCTACATGCATTTATAGAGACACAGAGTAAGACTAACCAAAAGTTTGATGCTACGATCACCCAAATTGTTGAAAAAATAAAGAAATAAAATCTCATATGTCCAAACTAACTAATGCCTTAACTGTAGGAGAGAGGGAAAAATTTTCAACGCAAGCTCAACCGAAACCGAACCCAAGGGACAACATATGGTACAAACCTCAAGCTCAGGGGAAAACAATCTTAAGAAAGTTAATGCCATAACTACCCAATTTTGAAAAGTTATAGAACCAACCCCCAAAACTAGGAAAAATGAAAAGGACCCCTGTAGCTCAGAAGAGAGTACCCTAGTAAAGAGGTAGTGAAGAATCCATCTAAAGTACCATTCCCTCAAGCTTTCAAGTCTACCTCGAAACCTACCGAACAACATAGTGAAATCTTAGAACACCTCAAACAGATAAAAATCAATCTACCTCTCATGCACGTGATTTCAAAAGTTTCTACCTATGCTAATGTCATTAAGGACTTATGCACTGTAAAAAAAAAATACCACGTCAAGAAAATTGCTTTCTTGACTAAACAAGTAAGTGCGATAATTGAGCAAAGGATTCCACCCAAGTATAAGGACTCTGGTTGCCCCACTATGTCTTGCACCATTGGGAACCATGAGTTTGCACAAGTTCTTTTCGATTTAGGAGCTAGTTTCAATATCATGTCTTATGCTATATACTAACCTACTTCCATGGTCCTGTAATTAGCTGATCGGTCCACTATTAAACCTAGGGGAGTAGTTGAGGATGTGTTGGTACAAATTGACAAATTTTGCTATCTCGTGGATTTCTTGGTATTGGACTTGAAAGTTGATGTGAATGTAAACTCCAAAATTTTCATTATTCTTGGTAGACCTTTTCTTGCTGCAGTTAATGCTCTTATTAATTGCAGGAACGGTCTAATGAAACTAACATTTGGGAACATGACCTTAGAAGTCAACATCTTTCATGGGTTGATGAGTGTCATCAAACATACATGATTGATGCACTCATTGAGAAGGAAGCACATGTGCTTATTGATCCCGACCCTTTAAATTCTAAAATTCCCACAGGGTATGATAATGGGGAATATGTTGATATTTGTGCTGCTTTTGATTATTTTCATGATTATGGGACACTACTGGTGACTACTTCCAATGATTTTGGTGCAATGCGCCAAACGTTGACAATGTCCTGGTTAGATGCGGGCTAAAGAAACAAACATTGAGTCGAGTCAACGATAATAAATAACGACGCTGCTTGGGAGGCAACCCAAGGGGAGTTCTTTTCCCTTCTTTTATCTTTTTTTTTTTTGCAATTGTTAAGTTTATTTGTATCATATGCATTATTCACTGTATTCTGGTTTATTTTCATTTTCTGCATCACCATTTTCATTGAAGACTTTTAGGCTTCTTATACTTTAGCTTATGTGATTTACTTCAACATTCAGGTGACCTATTTCCTTACCTTTATTTGGAAGACATGTTTTTTGCATTGAGAACAATGCAATACTTAGTTGGGGAAGAGTGTATTTGAAATTTTCTTGTGAATTGCATGATTTTCATGGAATGTTGATTTTGTTTTCGCTGAATTAGTCTAAAATTTTTCCTTAAGTCTTTATTTGCTGCATGTTCATGTTCTTGAATGACAAAATATGCCACTAGAAATTAATATTGTTTATGTACTAACTATCACATTTATATCACGTAAGATGATTATAATAATGGACGATTGCAAATAGTATTACTGGTAATAATCATCCAACTTGTGGCATGATCATAATTTATTCACTAAACTTTGCTTCACATTACTTACTAAATTTTACCCATTTGCATTTCATCAATTATCTCCAAAAATTCATTACCTTATTCACTGACAAGACTAACGAAAAATTATTTCATTACTTGTCCAACTTACACTTGGTTATAGCTTACTCATCAAACTTCTAAATACTTCTAAATAGGCACTCATCTTTGAGATGTTGCATTCCATCTATCATCCTTCATATTTCATTCCCTTCTTTGCTAATATATCGCACGAAAGTCCACATGACAAGTTACAATTTTTATTTTTTATTTTTTTAAATAGAACTTGGCCAAACCATCAACTCATCAAAATCAAATATGTGAAATGCGACTTTACGCCCATAAATTTCTTTAAAGCCCAATAAAGTGTCCCCAATTTCAAACCTAAAAAATCCTAGCCCCCAGTTCACTCATTTCACTTACATACATCTAAATTATGTAATAATACAAAGTAAATTGTTGAGGGAAAAAAAAAACTACTTATATAGCGCTATCCCTCAATTGTAACATCTGTTTGATGTCTCTCACCTCAATCTTCCATTTTTATAGGTGCATATCCAAGTAATTGAGGAAGAAAACATCATCGAAATCTGACAATTGGTATATGCCTAGAATACCTTTTGGATTTGTGTTCGTGTCTGTTGTTCTTCATTCATCAATTTGGTCAGAGTTCGATGACATTTTCTTTCTCAAATAGTTGAATACATGCCTCTAAAAATGGAAGTTCTAAATTAGAAAAAAGTCGAGCAGATGATGCAATTATGTGACAGGACTTTATAAGCAATAGATTCTTGCATCATTCTCAACAATTAACTCTATCTTAGTACACAATTTAGCTATATGCAAGTGAATGACTGAATTTGGGTTAAAAAAATTTAGGGCTAAAATTGATGACACTTTATTAGTTTTTAAATAAGTTTATGGGTCATGGAAGTAGCATTTCACATATGATGATCTTGGTGAGTCCATGGTTTGACCAAGTTGCGATTTCTTTAATGATTAAAACTTAACATGTGAAAATTTGGTATGATACGTTAGTAATGAAATGAATGAAATATGGCGGATGATGAATAGAGTATAACTGACACGACCCGTCCCGAATCATCCTAATAGACCCGACACGTGTCGTGTGTCGATGATAGATACTAGTTAAGTGCCGGACCCACCATCAAGGCAACATTGATTTGTATTGACTATGATATGCATTGTAAAAATTTTAGCAGAATTCCCCCTGAATTATAGACTAAAACCACCTGAAATATATAATCCAATATCCCAAACAGATACATATAGTTTAAATTATGGTATACTGGCTCACAGAAAATCAACTATTCAAATACAACACTGGCAATTTGACCTTTGCAACAATTTATAAACCATGGTACCCAAAATGCATAATATATACAAAACATAGCAGGCCCAAAACATGGAACTAATTTCTGACCAAAAGAGGTGTCTATTCTAGAATATGAGCTATTACACTGATAAGATGAGTCATACAATGCTTGACAATTTATAGTTCAACTCGATAAATCAACTGGCCCAGTAGTGCTTAGCTCAGCTACTATCTGTCTGATAAGGAAAAAAGGTAAAAGCAATATGAGCTAATAGCTCAGTGAGTGTATAATTTGTAAATAAGTAAACTTTTTCCATTTATGCATATTTTCTTAAAATTCTTGCTCTATTAACACTTTGAGAATTTTGAAATCTGATAAAACCTTTAGAACTAAAACATGACTGCATCATGAGATTCTTTGTTCTTTATTCGAGATAAATAACTGTAAAGTATAACAAATTTTGGTACCCATGATAATCTATGAAATATTGTTGTTACTCAATACTATAAACTGAAAACTTTATTCTTAGAACTGAATAATTGAATTCTATAATCTGGTCATACATACATAGAGCTACATTTACCTTAATGTACTCATTATTCTTGATGTCTGTATCATAACATCGTATACACTCAAAATTCTGGTACTAAATCATAAATTAGACTCAAGCTGATATATAAAAGAAAGATGATAATAATTAATACAAGATGAGTGAGAACATTAGACAAACTCACTAAGCTAAAATCATCATCAGAAATCCATAAGCTGAACTGTAAACGGGAAAATGTAAGCTGAAAGCTAATAATCCGCTATATATTTAAAATTCACATCAAAATATACTCCATGTAATCATCTACTGATGATCTGAAAGCTATAAAATCATATGCACATAAACCGTCTGATCAACACTCTGTACACGATCGTAGCCCCTCAGTGTACAAGATGAAAATAACATAATCATCCTTATACACGGTTGTAGCCCCTCAGTGTATAATAGGTACCCTTACACACGGCCGTAGCCCTTCAGTGGATAAGAGTTACCTTTATACACGGTTGTAGCCCCTCAGTGTATAGGAGTTAAATACATGACTCTAGTACACGGCCGTAGCCCCTCAGTGCACTAGAGTAAGATAATCACATCAATTATTTAAATGATAATTTCAAAACAATCATACTCATTTACTAATTCTCGAAAATAAGGCATTTCATGTAATTAACATGCTTTAAAATAAAAAGGAAATCTTCTTTTTGAAAACGTAGATTTCCCACTCACAGATCTATAAATAGCAATCTGGTTCAATTTTACCAGCCTTGCCCAACTTTCACGTTACCACCTGAAATACGATATAAAATAACTAATTTAACAACTTCCATACTAAGTATTTCTTAATACTAGTAATCGAATACTAAAACTTGACTTCTCGATACTTGAATAATATTTTCCCCAATTTCCTTTAATCACTTCAAACTAATTCCACTTTCTAGTCCATTTCTGAATAGCTAATTCATTACAATAATCTTCACTCCAAACATAAAAATAATTCCTTCTTCCAAACTAGTAAAATTAATAATCATAATTTAACCAATTTAATTTCCCATCTTGATCCATAAATTCATGCCTTCAAATGAATATTTCATCCTTACAAATTTTCCCATTAACTAAACTCATTCAAAAACCCAAATGAAAATTCTAGGGTTTTGCCCAAAATTGGTATTTCTTACCTTAGTGTAAATAGCATCTCCAATTCAAAAATATTGACTTGAAAACATATATATTCCTTCCTTAAAATCTGAAAATTAAACAAATAAAATCAAAACTCTAAAAATTTAAGCATAAAACATACCATATCTTTTAAAGAAATTAGACAAATTAAAAATGAAATTGGAATAGCCACTACCTCTTTTCCTTTCTTTTTCCTTTCCTTCCTTTTCTTCTTCTCTGCCGGTTCTTTCTTTCTTCTAGTGTGTGATTTATGAGAGAAAAAGTGATGGTCATAGGCATTAAAAACCCACTAACTCCAAATTGCAAGAAAAGTCCCTCTTCTCTAATATAAGCTAACATTTAAATACTAAACTTCCCAAACATGTATAAGTAAATTTTCAACTTCCAATTGTATCCAATATAACCCTCATATATTGTCAATTGTAAAATAAACCCCAATAAAATATTTTAGTCAATTCAAGTCCCAATAAAGTCATTTATTTCATTTAAGTCCCTATGTGACTTTGACTTTGAAAATTCAACTCTTGACTTTTGACTAAGAAAAATTGGTTTGTAACAGTTTTTGTCATCCAGTCCTTTTGGGCAATTCTTCGAACTTCGGATTCAATGGCGAAGTCCTATGGTCCTGTAATTTTGCAAAAGCACAAATGTTAGCATATTCATCAATATCAGAACTAATTGAAATTTCAGAGTTTAGGAAGAGAGAGTTCAAATGATCAAAAATAATTTTTGCAGATGCTTCCTCCTGCGTGAACACATCAATCATGTATGTTTGATAACATTCATCTTCTTCTCTAGGTTGCTTAGTGACATGAAAAATATTGACTTCTAGAATCATATTCCCAAAAGACAGCTTTATCAAACCATTCTTGCAATTGATAAGAGCATTAGCCGCAACAAGGAAAGGTCTACCAAGTATAATCGGGATTTTTGAGTGTACATCCACCTCAACCTTCACATCTAGTACCAAGAAATCAATAGTGTTGTAAAATTTATCAACCTGAACTAGCACATCCTCAACAACTCCCCTAAGTCTTATGGTGGACCTGTCAACTAATTGAAGAACCACTAAGGTAGGTTTCATCTTTTCTAGACCTAACAACAAGTATATAGCATAAGGCATGAGGTTAACACTAGCTCCTAAATCAAGGAGGGCTTGTGCAAATTCATGGTTCCCAGTGACACAAGAGATGGTAGGACAACAAGGGTCCTTATACTTTGGTGGGATCATCTGCTCTATCATAGCACTCGCTCGATCAAAAAAGCAGTCTTCTTAACATGATGTTTCTTCTTCACATTGCATAAGTCCTTAAGGACTATAGCATATGTAGGAACTTGAGAGATCACGTTCAAGATAGACAAATTGATTTTCACTTGCCTAAGGTGTTCTAAGATTTCATTGTGTTGAGCGGTCGACTTCGAGGTAGATTTGAGGGCTTGAGGGAAAGGTACCCTAAATGGAGCTTCGACTACTTCTTCACTGGGGCTACTCTCATTAGGCTCACTTGATTCTTTTTCATTCTCCTAGATTGAAGGGCTGGTTCAATGATTTTCCCCGATCTAGTGTTTATGGCATTTACTTCCTTAAAGTTGGTCTCTCTCGATCCCGAAGTTTGTGCCATATGTTGCCCCTTTAGATTTGGTTGAGCTTGAGCTGAAATTTTTTCACATTCCCCTATATCTAAGGCATTGGTTAGTTTGGACACATGATTCTTTATCTCTTTGTTTTCCTCAACTAACTGGCCAATCATAGTCTCAAATTTTTTATTCGTTTTACCCTGTGCCTCAATAAATGCATGTAAAATATCTTCTAAAGAATTTTTCGAGGATATAGGTTGACGTGGGAGTGCATTGTAAGCTCTACTGGATTGGACAAGTTGTTGGTTTTCAAACTTCCAGCTAAAGTTGGGATGATTTCGCCACCCTAGGTTGTAAGTCTCGGAGTAAGGGGTGTAGAGCTTTTGATATACGCCTAAAGCATTACATTGTTCCTCATAAAGTCTCATCTCAGCATAAGTGGAACACTCCTGTCCTAGGGGATCACTCCCTCTACACACAAAACAAGGCTCTAAAGACTCAATACGGGAAACAAGTCGAGTTGTTTTTGAATCCTTAGCACGTAAGACTTCAAGTTCTCTAGTGACGGCCTCTACCTTTGCTCTGAGGTTGTCTTCCTCTCTAAGATGATAAATACCTATGCTATTCAGGTTTCCAGTGGGTCGTGACCTATTAGTACTCTCAGTGGCACTAGGTCCAGTCCAGGTATGGGTTTTTTCAGCTAAGTCATCTAGGTAGTCTATAGTCTCATCTGGATCTTTTGCAAAAAAATTTCATTACACATCATTTTAACAAATTGACGCTCTCTAGGCAATAATCCCTCATAGAAATAACTCACAATGTGCCAGCTTTCATAACCGTGTTGAGGATAGAGGGCTTGCAATTCTTTGTACATTTCCCACGCTTGATATAAAGTTTCACTCTCTTTTTGAGTAAAAGAAGAGATTTGCTTTTTCAATGCAATTTTTTTTGTGGTGGGAAAAGTACTTGCCATAAAATGCTTGAGTCATTTCAGCCCAAGTCCCAATCGAGCGTGGTCTTAATGAATATAGTCAGCTTTTTCCTCTTTCTTTAAGAGAGAACGGGAAAAATTTAAACCTGACTGCATCCATTATACCACATTAATTGTGAAAAGTTGCAACCACCTCTTCAAATTCTCTAATATGCACGTATGAGTTTTCTTTAGCAAAACAATGAAACGTGGGAAGAAGTTGGATCATTCTGAGTTTAAGATTCATACGTGACATATTAGGTAGAAATATTATGCATGACGGTGTAGATGTGGTGTGGGTAGAGATAAACATGCAAATTCCTAGTTGGTGCCTCTTCATGTTCATTATCAGTTATGGTGTTATGTGATGTAATGTGTGTGCCAACAGATTCAGTATCAGAAAGAGGGTTAGGACTAGATTCAAACGCTTGTGGAAGCCTTGCAATGAATTGTCCCTACTAGTCTTGATCCCTGTTCATAAAGCATGAAAATGGGGTTTTGTGAGAAATAATAAACTACCAACTAAGAAAATAAACTAACAAAAAAAATGTAAAAGAAGAACAAAGTCACCCTTTTGCTCGAAAATCCTTCGATTGTTTGTATCGTCTCCTCAGTAATGGTGCCAAAATTTGATTACGCCTAAAAAATAACACGGTGATTGTAGTATAGCTTTAGAGTGTCGGTTTCAAGAGAGAATGCGAAGTTTCCGCCTGAGTGGATTGAGGAAATATTGACTATTTGAGTTGTTACTTCATTTAATTTGCTTCATTAATCATTAATTAATATAGGCTCGCGATTCGACTTTGATCGGATGTATAGGAACAGGTACGGTGGTATCCCGAATACAAATAAAAAAATGAAATGCTTGATTGAGAAAAGCAAGCAAAGAAGCAGCAAGAGATGTCTGAGCTTGGAGGTTCCACTTCTCTAATTTTATAATAAAGCTACCCACAGGGAGATGGCAAGTTTCACAAAGGATCAAACAAACTATGACTTTCGTGATTTTATGTAAGGATGATTTAGCAATTGGAATAAAGGACTAATATCAATGTATGAAATAATGCAGCGCCGAAATTTCTTTGATTAGATGGGTTCAATCAATGTCATTTTTGCATGAGAATACTCAATTAAAGGTCTTTATCCCAACACTTTAATTGGAAAATAGAACATTCAAGACCTTATTTTATTTCTTTAATAATTCCAAATCTACGTTCTTTCACAATATAATTCCACAATGATTTATTGAAATTAGATCCTAAAGCAATTATACATCAAGCATATAATGGTAAAGAATCACACCAATGAATTGTTTGAAATTGAAAATCAATAAACATTTCGATTATTTAATGAAGAAAACATGATTGAATTCATAAAAATCCAATGTGAATTAATCCAATTCCAAAACATATCCAATAACATAAGGAATCCAGATTTAGAATTGTTCAACAATGAAAAACACCTTACACGTAATAAAAAACATTGAAATTCCCAAATCTAACCAAGTTCATTTGTGGCTTCACCGATTAATTTAGTTTTCCATGGAGTTCTTGTGCCCAAGATGAGAGAAAAGAGATAGGAAATGAGAGGGGGCATGTTCTGTTCGAATTAGGGCTTAAAATCGAGTGCCAAATTGTTTCCAAAAGAGGTTGAACGGGATAAGGAAACTCGAAGATTCGGCCAAAAATTGTTTTGTGCGATTGCTTTCAGTATTTTGATCATAACTTTCTCTCTCGAAGCTTGATTAAGACAATTCAAAGTGCGTTGAAAAGATAACACAAAGTGCTACGATTTTCCTGAAGTAGCTCTTTCCAAATTCGAACGTTTACTAGGTTAAAAGTGGATCTCAATCTCCGGCTGAAAATATGGAAAATTCTTATGCGTTTGAAATTTGATTTGTGAAAATATTATGGTCATATTTAACTTCTTTTGACTTCTAATTGCACCCAATGGACTTCTAACTTTCTCGAATCATCATTCCATTGCCCGTCTCATCTTTAAATTATTTGCAACTTGATCCCTGAACTTTCACTTTCTTTCACTTTAGTCCTTTTTCGCCTTTTTCTTCTAAATTCCACTGTATTTATCCATTTACAACCTAAATCAAAATATAAGAGTACTTAGTGCATTTAAGCATCAATATATCATGCAAATACAAGTATAAATGGATGACATTGTGCTATTATCATATATCAATATCAAAAAGTGCAGCTTCATGACCGACCAATTTTATTTATTGGTTTTATGGAGGGAAAAGATGGTATTCAAGTTGATGGGATGAAGGTGTAAGCAATACGCGAGTGGCCAACTCCTAAAATTGTGCAAGAAGTAAAGAGCTTTCATGGATTAGCAACTTTTTATAAGCGTTTCATTCAAGGTTTCAGTATAATCATGGCACCTATCAGCCATTACCTAAAAAAATGCCAATTTCATTAGGGCAAAGCACAAGAAAATAGGTTGAGACAACTAAAAACAATGTTGGCACTACCTAGCTTTGAGAAAGTATTTGAAGTTGAATGTGATGCTTCAGTTATGGGAATTAGAGCGGCATTATCCCAAGAAGGTTGCCCAGTTGAATTTTTTCAGTGAAAAGGTTAGTGAACCTCGACAAAAGTGGACTACTTATGAGTTGGAATTTTATGTCGTTATCCGAGCATTAAAGCATTGGGAACATTACTTGGTTCAACGAGAATTTGTACTATTATGGATCATCAAGTTTTGAAGTTTATTAATTCTCAAAAAATATTGAATCAAATGAACGCTCGATGGATTACCTTTTTGCAAAAATTTACTTTTATTATAAAACGTAAATCTAACCAATAGAATAAAGCAACAGATGCGTTAAGTCGATGTGCATCTCTTTTAGCTACAATTAGCACAAAAGTAGTTGGGTTCAATTGTTTAAAGGAACTTTATGCAACTAATGAGGATTTTGGCGATATATGGACTTGATGCAGTGATAGGGAATTTACACCCGATTATTCTCTTCAGGAAGGATTCTTATTTAAGGAAACACAATTATGCATTCCTTGTTCTTCTTTACGTTAGCACTTGATTCGAGAACTATATGCAGGCAATTT